CCATTTTTGCTATGGGAGTTGTTTTCCAGTTGTGGGTTGATCTAGGTTGTACCGCGTCTCCGAGCAGTACGATATCGCCTTCGTTCGGCGAGTTCTTCAACCCTCCTCCTGTCCCGTATCGGGTTTTCTGCTGCTGTGAGCGTGAGCGCCATCGCTGGTTGCACCCTACTTCCATGTCTCTGAGCGTCGTTCCGAATCCACTGAAAGCCATGGCGAGCAGTCCGAGCGTGTAGTATGGCGTTTTCCTGATGCAGCGCTTAATCCTCTCGTAGAACGCACCCTGCGACAGTGCGCGAAGAGTAGTGTGACTCCATCCTCCTTTTCGCCGTGCTACTTCGCTTCCGAACTGTGTACTGTTTACCATGTTTTCTGTGGCGTTTCCGGAGATTTGCTCACTCGACGAAACCTTTGGTGCTTTTTCCGTGGTGATGATCCGCTTTACTCCTTTTCTTGCATGGGATCTCCGAACCTCTGTGCTGTTCATCAGTCGTTTCTGGGTTTGCCTCTGTCCGCTGCTGTGTTCCCCGTCAGAGTTACTGTGTCCCACGTTGCTGTGCTTTGCTCGTTTCGCATTGCGCGTAGAATAATACGAATGGAGTTCGTGTACTTACAGGGGAAGGATACTTGGATGCCGTAGCCATATATATTGATTTGTATACCAAAAAATGCGCTTTTGAATGCTGGTTCGTAGACTGTCTTTCATATCTGCGAAACGATAACCTGCATGGAGTTATGATTTTTTTTTCATTAAAAAAATTGCGTTCCTGCGGAGGGTCAAAATCATCAATAAAAATTTTTTCTCTCCTTTCCAAATGCTGAGTATGATCCAGATAGTCTAAATAAATATTACTACGTCTAAAATTTTCTTCAGTAGCATCAAACGGTAGGCTAGATCAAATCTGGTGATTTTTACTACCTAAAAGTAGGCTAAATTTTCAAGGAAAAAAGTTCATAACTTTCTTCAAAAGATCGTTTCGCAGATTTCGAGCACAGATTCAGAATCTGCATTCGAAGGCGCATTTTTTGGTATACAAATCATTAGGAATGGCCGCGGCATCCAACTATCCTTCCCTTGTTAGATCCTTTCGCGACAGCCCAAGTGATATCAAGTAAACGTCATAGTGAAAGAAAGTAGATTACGGGAGGACACCCGCCGAGATATGGAGCTCAAAACCGATTTTTCACTCTCGTGTTCAAACGAAAATTAACAAGAAGCTGGAATCAGATACTCCTCAAGAGCTATCAAATGATCTATTTGTGGGGGTCTGATGTTTTATTTAGCCCCGCGACGATGGGTGGAACGCTGCAGTTATGCGATCTCAGCTCCACCTATTTTGATGCATAAGGAGGGGGCGGGGGTGGGGAGGAGGTTGGGAGTGAGATCATCTCACCCCACATGTTATATTAGGTTGTAACAAAATTAATGCAGGTTTTGAATTCCAACCGCAATAAGTCATAAACTTCTTATTTCTAACTAGGTTGCAAAGTACCATTCGATAGAGCAAAGCAAGCTCTATAAAAAGACCATCTTGCTTTAGCAACAACTCTGATCCACCACGAGTTTCGAGCCAAAAACTAAAAAGATTCAACTGCCCGAAAAATTTAGAAAAATCGTAACTTAGTTCATAAAAAACCTACAAAAATTATAACTTGCTCACGTAAACACTATTCACATAAGACATCTATATACGCCTTTGCCGTATTTTTTTCTCTGTTAGAAATCAAGAAAACGGAAATTTTTGTGCGTTTGTCAAAGTGATGTTGTGCCCTTCCCACATACGTAGTTGTATACTACAAACCTGTAGAAGTACAAACGTGAATTTCCAGCTCTCTACAAGCTTTAGTTCTCGAGAAATTTGAATTTTAGCTTGGACCACATGATTAGCGAAAACTGTATTCGATATTTTTCGAGAACTAAAGCTTGTAGAGAGCTGAAAACACTGGTCTCACTCTCTAAGCACGAGGAGAGACCTTCACGATTGGTTTCTTTAGAAAAGTTTTCTACGCCATGGAGTGGCCGCGACAATTATTCATGTCAAAACCTCAGTTTCTCTACTCTCACAATCGTTCTAAAGAAGCGCTACTATCTATTTTGTAGGTTAACTCAATATCTTGCTTCAGCTATATTATCATGGAAATACTCCTCTTGCCGAATAAGTTCAAGCCAAAATAGTGCAAAGGTTGAATTTAGTAATTTAAAGCTTCATCTTCGGATGGTTCTAGATTTTGAACAAATGAAGTTGGTCGTAGAAGTAGTATATATAAGAGAGAGAGCATGAAGAGCGGCTTCTTTTAGTATGCGAAATTGGTTGAAAGATGCACATTCCTAGAAGAATGATCTTTTTGAAATTGCATTTGCAGAAACCTGCATTGATTTTCGGACAACCTAATAGGTTGGTGCAAAAGTTCTTTCCCACCAAGTTCAAAAATTCATAACTTCTTGAATTCTCAACGAATTTAGAAGATCTAAATTTTGTATAAGAGAGGAACATGCTCTTTGCATTGGTACTTGAAACGTTCGCTATCGAAAACAGATAAAGGAGATTGATGCTGAAAACCAAAATCACTCAAAATTTGAATTACTCGTGTAGGGTCACAAAAATCGGAAACGTGCAACAAAAATCGGAGCAGTTAGTATTGTAGGCTCTTTCACAAGCTCTTTCCAACAGTGCAAAGTTTGCGCCAATTGAGCGTCTTTGTGGAAAGTTATGAATTCCCTGAAAAATGCCAAAATAAATTAATCTCGCCCTTTTGTATTGCTTGCTCGAAAATCGTAACTTTTCATAGAGACGCTTGTTACGAACTTGCGTTCGTATCGTTTTTTTGAATTCCGAGGAATGCGGGATGGCGAACTTTGACCAAGGCTCGAATGTTTCACAGATTTAGTTCTTCTTTTCAGTTCTTTGAGGTTCTTATCAATGATTTTCTCATGCTTGCTTTTGGTATGCTTATATTCGCTCATATATTTGAGTGTTTGACACAGTTCAGGAAGCACTGATTTTGTGTTTTGTATGTCATCGTTCAATTCTTTCCTTATTGTTTCTTACTTTGATTCTTCATCATTATCGATTGTATCCTTCCCACAGTTGCGCACTACCTCACAGGGCCCTCACAGCGAAGTCACGGCCCCTTGCACAGAGCCCTCACAGCAGCTCACAGTGTATCCGGGTGACATGTATGGACCTTGTATTGCTTGTGTAATATTTTTCGTAGCCGTATAGTTGTTAGCTGTATTTTTATAATAAAAGTTTAATTACCCAAGTTTGAGGTGCCCTCGCTGTGCGTAAGTCCCGCGTGGCAGCATCGATCACAGTCCACACCGCACACACACACATACTGACTCACCGACCGTACACCAAGAAGACTTACAGTAACCATTGCGCTCGGATTTCATGAAATGAAAAATTGAAGCTGAAGAAAGTCTACTACAACAGATCCTTCTGCGACAGCCCAGGCAATATCATGTAAGCTCTCCCCTACAGGTAATAGAGAAATTAGATTGCGGAAGATCCGCTCATGGAGATATGGGGATTTTTTGGCCTGGAGGAGGATATGGTTCAGCAATCGAACGTGCTTGGATGTGCTGTGATCAGCTTAGGTTGGACTAATCGGAAATGGAAGTTACCTGATTACCTAATAGTACTCGTTTTCCTATTGCGTTCCTCCGTGTTCATACTTACACTCATTATATTGCTTTGATTCCATACAACTTCACAATTCAGTGTATATTCTCAAAGCACACGACTCAATGACAATTTTGATTTATAGCAGCCACGATCAGAATCAAAACCAAATCTCCTTCCAACTGTTCATTTCTAGGCCCACAGCAAAGCTCCACCCTAACCATCCCTTTCATGACCACTTTCCATGCCGGTAATGTACTCCTCATTCCATAAACTCTTTAAAATTAGGTTTTTCAACTACATATCCCTCAAGCTCAACTAAGTATTTCCTCATTTCAGCAGACTCAAAAAAACTTTTTTCTCCATCCGAAGTGAAGGTGGAAGGGGGGCGGGTAGCCTGACTTCAAAGTGAAAGGAGGTGAAATTCATGTAATCTCATCGCGCCTAGAATTTTCGTACATTGATCTAATGTTTGGGTCACCACTGACCTGCACGGGTTTCACCAGGACAAGGGAATACAAAATGCTCCACGGCCCACTTCGTTCGTTCCGCTCCGTCCCTTCCTACCCTTTCACGTAACTTTTCTTTGTTGTGCACTCCAGCACCCCCAACCCTTATGCGAAGGGTTACCTCGGCACAACTCTGCTTCGATTTTTTGCACCTTTGTGGTCCTGGCGCTGAAATAAACTTTATGCCTCTGTCGCATGACTAAATTGATCATTTGATGATGACTGACAAGTCTCCATTTGCTAAAATGTAAGCAAGTAATCGTTGAATTGATAGGTGAACCTAATATATCGGCACAAAAAGTAGCTTATGATATAGGCAGTGTCTTATTTTTGAGGGAACAAATCTCAGCCTTATCGATGTATTTAGAGATCTTAACCAGCTGCATAAATTGAGGACCTTCGAAGGTATATAGATAGATAAAAAGAGGGCCCTTTGCTAATATTTGATGGACAACATTTTTATTAAGGTCTCTGCATGATCTGTAGATAAAAGCATTCATTGCCTGTCGCTCACTAGTTAGCTTGCGGTCTTTGTTCAATTGATATAGTGCTGATATCGCATGGAACAGTTTTCATGAAAACTTCATGTATGACTTACACAATGAAATGATAGTTAAGATGAAGAGGGAAGTCGTTCATTAACGAGATTGCTCATTGAATTATGAACAAAATTTTTTGCAAAATCTTCTGCCAGGTGCAGCACAATCTGCTAACGATGACAGCGAGGTCTGCGATGTTCACATCTGTTGCAAAATCAACATGCCAGCCCTGAAGGTGCAATTTTACGAGGTATAAAAGTACTATGATTAAGAGCTTGATACTTGAAAAAAATTGTTTTGCAGATTCTTCCTTTGACGCTAATTTCAGGATGAAACTTCTTTTCCTCATGCTAGTCGCATACGTTGATGCGGGCTTGCCAATCTCAAAGCGCAAAGAAGCAATGAGAGATACACTGAAGAGGATAAAAACGGTAAGGTGCGATCGCGATTACTTCCTCAACTCTTTGAGCAGTTTTAGACCTTGAACAAAGCTGAGCTTCTTTCCATACGAGAGAGGTTCGATTCTCTCAAGAGCAGGGTAGCAGATGAACTAGCAAGCACCCCAGGCAGAAAAGCGGCTTTAGTTGCAGCAGTGAGGGTACGGTACTTTCAAAATAAGCACGATACATGTAGTTTCTGATTGTTTGAGAAGCTGAAAGCTTTAAAGAAAGACAGTAATTTGGGTAACTCCATTGAAGATGTGAATAGAGGATCCAGAATAGGAGATTTTCTGTATGATAGCGACATGGTGCTGACAACGTAAGCACTTTTTCTGCCTCAACATTGCACGGACGATGCGGTCATATTTGAGTGCACAAGCAGAGGAGCTACTTCGAGTTAACAGTCATCGAAGGAGGCGCCAGGCATTCCGTGACGGCGATTATCCCAACACCATCTGGTTGCGAGGTGTACATTACTCATTCCACGATAATGCAAGTGAGTGCCTTCTTGCATTAAGCTGCGCCAAGTCGATTTGACATTTTTGTTTAGCTGAAAAGGTACGAAGCGTGTTCAAGAAGGCAGTAAAGGCTTGGCAAAAGAATACTTGCATCAACTTCTACGAAAGCAATGGTACACGTACTTTGGTGGCATCATCTCACATTACAACGCAAATGATTACAGAGGAGGAGAGAATTGAAGTTATGGTGGAGGATGGTTGCTGGTCCCATGTAGGCAATGTTCATAAAATCCAAGAACTATCGCTGGGTGAAGGATGCGATTCGGTGAGAGATCTTCGAAATCTGTCTGACGAGGGATCAAAGTTGCGGATTTTGACACACGATAGAAATCGCCTTTGATAGCAGCAGAGCGAACGTTGTGCTCCGCTATGGACCTTCATTTGCTGAGAATTCGAGAGTAGTTAAGATTACCAAGGATTAAGCGTTGAGACTAAGCATTAGGCCTTGACTCTGTGATAAAGTCATCGTCGGTGACTTCAACGCGAAGATCGGAGCAAGAAGATTCTGCAGAGCTACACATCGGGACCCATGGACTACAGTGGAACGAACAAGGGAAGAGACTGTCCAGTTTACTCTGACGACGAGGACCATCCATGAAAACTCACTGTTTCGAAAGCCTTCTTCCGACGGATTGACATCATCGACACTAGAATGTATTGCCTGACGGGCGTCGTTATTATTCCGAAACTCTATACAGGATCGGACCATAACTTCTTCGTGCCAAATCATCTACTTTTCACGGAATGGAGAGAAAGCCGTTAAGTTTAGAAAACACCGACTACCATTAACTGGGATCTGTTTTCGTCGATATCCGGTTCTTAGTGAGATACTGTGATGCGGGCAACATCGACCAGGAATAATACGAATGAATTATTCACAGTCTCTACGATCGTGCTAAAGAAGCTGAGAGTCTAACAATGGAAAGGTCAGAAGTCGAAGTGGCCAATCCATACAAGTGCATACCATTCAATGCACCGTGAAATGGTGATTTCATGTCTGTCTTCCATATCTGCAGAGCGCCTTTGTAGGCGAAGTTATGAGCAGCTTTACTGCGAAAAAACCGTATACAAAAATTGCGAAATTAGGCACATTATTGCTCTTTCAGCTCATCTCTAGGTACGGGTCATGTGAAGTGACTTAGTTGCATGGTGGGTCCAGTAATGAGCCGAGAATGGCTTTGCACGGCCAAGTTTGCACTTTACACGCACAATTTCTTAGCAAAATAATGGCCTTCAACGACTTTTGATTTGGTCCACAAAAGCGCTCTGCAGATAGGGAAGAAAGATTTATAGTCAACTGCATCTAATGGTATGCACCTTTATGGTCTGGCCACTTCGATTTCTGACCATTCCCTTGTAAGAAGTATAAGAAAATGTTTGTCGACGGAGACTTTAGAGCTGATACGCCAGCTAGACGAGCACGAGCCGGAGATGATCACACTTACGTCCGAGCTTAGGAAGCATTGCAGAGGAGCGATCAAGGAGAATCACAAAGAGAAAGAAGCACAAGTAATGGTTGACGCGGTTGAAGTGAAAAGAGGTATACGCAACGCCCGCCAAAGCACCGTCAGTTTCAAGACCAAGATAAGTGCACTCCACCGCCCTAATACAAGCACAACCTCTTCCCGAAGTTTGATGGAAAAAGTCATCCACCATTTCTAATCGGATCTCTTTGCAAGCCACATACACTTTCCCTCGTGGCATCTCAAAAGGGCGAATAGCAACATAAATTTTTTCATCGGAAGTTCAACATGCTGTCAATGAAAGGTCGTGCAGCAACAAGACCCAACAGGATCAAAGCGGAAGGCTTGAAGAATTCCCCACCAGTTACCTGACGGAGGTCAAGGTTTCCAAATCAGTGGAAGACGAGCAAAATCGTGTTGGTGTACAAGAAAGGAGACGCGACATCGGAAATTATCGCCCTAGCTTATTGTAGGCCTGCCTGACTTTTGAATGGTTGTGCCTCGCCCACTTTTAGAGCTTTCACCCTACCCTGAGAGTGACGGTGGTCCTCCTGAGCTGGCGCGCGCTTGGGCCATCCGACACGTTCGCGAACGTGTATGGCCCCGGACAAACTTCACGCGATTTGATCGTCGCGACTCAGTCGCCGACCTTTCCATTCATTCTCATTTCACATTCAAAAATTTCGGGCTGGAAAAGTATCACAACCGAAATGCAAGTTGATCGGCGTGGAATGATGTTGCAACTGTTGTCTCGTCGCGATTCAGTCCCGACGATCAAATCGCATGAAGTCTGTCCGGGACCTAAGAAGTTATGAGCGTTTGAATGTCCAAATTTGTCAAGCAGTAAGTGGCTCAAAATCAACGAAAAGCTCTAAAACAATGCCTAGAGATTTCTACAGCTTTGTTCCTTCCTTGCAAACAATATACTTGATACAAAACCAATTTTCCACTTTTCGGTGTTTTTGTACAGCTTTTTGCCAATTTTAAGCCGCCTAAACCTTCACAAATTTGAACATTCAAACGCTCATAACTTCTTTCGGAAACCTATTCCGCGAAAAGGAAGAGCAGATTTGGAATTGGCGTTTGGAAGCGCGTCTACCGATATACATCTCATCTTTAATCGCGGACTAATGTTGGTATCCTTTTCTTGTAAGACAATTTATTGTCAAATGTGCTGCTTGCACCGTTTACTGGAGTGGAATTGCAGAAGATGTGCCTACATACTCCAAAAAATCAAACAAAACTCCCTAACACTGGCTGAATAATTTTCCAAATACCGCATTATGAGGTTGTGAAGGTGAATAGGAGAGAGAAGGAAAAGTTCAGAGTTGGGTCAGGCTGCGCGACGCGCGGCGTACGCCTCATACCTTTAAGCGCGTCACCTTTATCTTTACCGCGTACACCGGAGTCTGGCCTAACCCTCACGTAGGTGGGTGGGGCGGGGGAGGGAAAGGCCGTTTTCGAACTACTGTGCCTGGCCTCACGCTCAACGCTAATCTACTCCAGCGTTTTCGGTTCCAGTGCGATTTGTTTTGCTAAATCACTTACGAATCACTCTTGCACAAGCAAGGCTTGGCCTCTTGCATCAACTATCGAAAGGCATGTGCCTATGCATTTGTTTCTAGCGCATTGATTTGTAGACGTTTGACAGATTGCCAATTCGCGTGATTTGGGAGGGCCCTTGAGGTTTGAATGCCAAGAAGCTAGTGCAACTTATTGATCTTTCCTTGTCACATTTACGTTCGATGATGTTATGCAAGGTCAGGTAGTGGATGTCCTTGTAATAAAACTGTACTACAGATAGCAGCTGCTTCTCATGAACTAGGACATGCACTCGGAATGTTCCACACGCATTCAAGACATGATCGTGACTACTACATAAAGCTGAACGAACAGAACATCAGGGTAAGCTTGTATCGACGCCGCAAGTAGAGGCTTTCTATATTACAGCGTGGCTGGCACAGTGAGTACATTTTAAAAACACCTGAGACAAATTATAATTACGAAATAACTTATGACTACGGCAGCGTAATGCACTATACAGCCTTGAGGTGTGCAACTTTGCAATCTGGCGAGGTATCTTGATCAGAAGTTCATGTACACAGCTCATCACGCAATGGTCAACCCACAATGGTGCCTCGTGATGAAAAATATATCGAAACTCTCGGATCACCCTTTGTTTCCTTCTATGATTTGCTAATGATAAACACTCACTACAACTGTCTTGGTTGGTTTGAAACTGTTCTCCATTAAATTGTGTAATCGCAACTTTCAGATAAGTGTAAACTCAAAGCCTCAGCAGCTAAATGTGAAAATGGCGGATTTCCTAATCCTAGAAGTTGCAAGAGATGTGTTTGTCCAAGCGGCTACGGTGGTAGGCTCTGCAACAAAAAAGTAAATTCTTTATTTCCCATGCACATATCCTTCTACTTGTTCTATGATTTTTTAGCCCCGTGGATGTGGGAAAATTTGGAATGCTGACTATTCGTACAGCATCTTCGAAGATGCCGTAGGTACTGGCCCAGACACCGGAGAGAGTGAAGACTTTCGGGTTTGCAATCACTGGTTAAAGGTGATTACGGACATGCAACCATGAGAAAGAATTTGAGTAGCCTGAGTTAAGGCAGCAGAAGGAAAAAGGATAGAAGTGACAATCGTAAGCTATTCGGAAGGTTACAGAAGCCCTGGGTGCAGATATGCAGGTGTTGAGATCAAGACTCAAAGGGATCAGCGTATGACTGGATACAGGTCGGACCCATTCTTAAAGCTATAAGAAAACGTCTTTCTCTACGTTAGGTTCTGCTCCCACGAAGACGCTGGAACGATTTTGGTGTCAGAGTCTAATATTGTGCCAGTGATCACCTACAACAGAGCCGATCAATCAAGGACTGTTCTACGCTATCGCATGGGTGAGACACGTATGGTGTTCTTATGTGACATTACAATTTCAACCAACCTATTTTAGGCTAATCATGGAGAGTCGCTAGAATTAGTTGGAAACTTAATTAGTTGGCTAGCTTGTGGTTTATTTAGAAGGCAGGGCAATACGCAATGAAGATTTCAGCTTACATATACACATCGACACGCAGAAGACATCTAGCTCTTTGGTACCTGTATATCAATGCTGTCAAAATTCACAAATATACCAACTTCCTCACAGAACTAGGACGCACACGCAGTATTATCACGAAATGCAGAAAGAGAGCGTCTCGGGACAATACTCAGCTTCACTTGGAAGAACTGGATATAGTCCAATGTGAATGCCTCTTTAAAAGACTCGAACATGTGATCCGTAAAGAAGTGTGGCAAAGCTGGGCACATGGTTTTTTTGCTTGGAAACTGATGAGGAGGTTCTAGCTAAGGCAGTGCTTAAACCGCAGCGCAAACGATTTATTCGCGACTGAGAGATACCCAACACTCGACGCCTGCACCGTGACCGTAACACTTAGGATGCGTCCTAGCGCGAACGTAGTGTTGAAGCCAGCGAAGTCGTTTTGGGTTACGGTCAGGCGCAAGCGTAGAGCTTAGGAGGAAGAATTTTCCAGCCGTGAGTGGACCATTTGCGCTGTCGCTTGGACAGTGCCTGTTAGGACTCCCTCATCAACGTCCAGGAAAAAAAAAACCCACGCGCCCAGGTTTGCCTGGACAATGCCTTTACTTTAGGCCTCGGGCAGAGTGCAAGCGATTTGATCCTCGCGACTGATTGCGACAAGATAACTGTAACAATATTGTTGCATGCCGATCTTCTAGCATTTTGGACGTGATAGTTTTCCACACGACTAATCATGAGTAAGTATCACAACCGAAGTACAAGAAGAGTAGCGAAGAAATCGCGACGATTAAATCGCGTGAACTCTACCCGAGGCCTTGAGGGCAGCGTCCGGGCAAGATCCACCCACCTAGATTAGCACATGTTGTAAAGCGGGCCCCATGAGTATCCGATCTGCGTTGATCTCCTTTGACGTGACCTCCAGAAGGAGATACGGGCCTGTGATACGTATTACAAACCGTAACTCCTCGTATCACAAACCTCCCCCGAGGACGTGTGCTCACGCATCGATCGATCAAGGACTGTAACTGCACCTATGCAGTTGCATCTCCTCCTCGGTGGTGAGCCGGGGGGATAAACAATCCGAAACTCGTCCGCGCCCTCAAAACAGGGTCCCCAGGGATTGGTTTTTAAGGATTTGGACAATTTGAACTTTATAACTGTAACTAGAGCCATGGAAAGGCCCTAGAAGGACAAAAACATGAGAGGCTTAATTTTGCCTTTAAGTGACAGCATTATTGCTGCACCATTCTATCATGTTAGCACGTACTATATATCAGGTTGTCGGAAAATAATGTCGCATGGCATCCTACCGCGACAGAATGACCACAAAAAACATCGAACGGGGTATCATTCGATAGAGCAAAGCAAGCTCTACAAGCTAGTTTACAAATCTCCGCGGAGATCTTGCTCCACCTGAAGTTCGAATTCAAAATATAAAAAATTTCAGACGCCCGAAAATTTGTGTCTCCGTTCACAGACGTGTTAGGGATCTCCAGTTTGCACAGGCATGTACTCTCCACACTGGACATTCACCTGTATAGTTTGTGGTATTTTTCCATGGCTACAGTACGAGAAATAAAAAGAGGTCAAACGTGCTATGTCGCGTTTTTCGGTTTTTTTGCAAACAATTTGATTTTTCTCGAAAACTAGCGCTTGTTTAAAGCTGAAAATTTATGGTTATACTTCTAAAGGTTCATGCTACAGAATCACCCATGTGAGAGAAGCTCAGGATTGCTTTGACAGAAATATGCCGAATTTGGTTTTCTCAACTTACAGCCATGGAAAAACCGCGAAAATGCGCATACGAGTGTCTCGTATAGTGAGTCCATGCGTGAGCAAGTTAGGTTCTCAGGACTTCTCTGAACGGAGATACGATTTTTTTTCGTTTTTCTAAATCTTTAGTGCCTTATGAAATCTGGCTCCGAACTTCACGCAAGTCAAACCCGGCGCGAAGGTTCGAGCTTCATTTTGTAAAGCTTGCTCTGACCTATCGGTTGATACCCCTCTCACTTACTCTCGTGCGCACCCTGCTGCGATATTGCATAATGAAACAAAAAGCGACATTATTTTCCGGACAGCCTAATACTTCTATACCAACTGATATATGAACATGGTCTTTCTCAGAACAGCGAGAGGGTGTCATGCTGGGCTTCATTAGCCACTGACTCAGGTCAGGCAACAGGTACCATCTGCACTAACATTGAAACGGAACTTCTCTGAGTTTTTTGGCTATTGATAGAAGTGTGCATTCAAAACAATCTGCAGCAAAAAGCAAATAAACTACGTAGCAGCAAAGTATGGGCGAGCCAAAAATAGGTAAAAGAGGATTTTTGATCTTAAGAGGCACACTAAAGCGGGAAAAAAAACTTTAGATTTTTCAAATAGTAGTTTTGAGCTAAAGATATAGTCATCAGTGGAAAATTAAGAAGTTTGTGAGAAAATGGAAAAATCATGATTTTTCGGCGCCAGCACACTTACTCTGAAGTGGCCATTTCCGATGATATAAATGTATTGGAAGGACATTTCTTCTCATTTCTGAATTCTCAGTTACGAAAAAATCACGGGGAAAATTCAGGCTACTTAGCTAGTGATCTTGCAAGATTCGAAGTTAGCGCTATCTAGGTCATCTACCTGCGACTTCTTGACAACCGTTTATAAAACGGAAGTCATATTTAGTCCCAGCGTTTCTAGGCCCTACTGTAGTGTACATCTTATTAGAGATGGCTAGATGAACTCAAATGAATTCCCTGGTCAGCGGAGGGAAACTGCTATATTCTTCTTACGGTTCCATAATTTTTCATGCCTGTTCTAATCTTTCATGCATTAGAAATACAATGCTGGCAATATTACTTGTTATTCGCTGGAAGGAAGCATTTTACAGTAATGTATTTTGCTCTTTGTGAGTCTTTGTGCTGGGACAGCGAATGGTGGTACTGGTATCGTGATAGAAAAATGGTAAAAATGGTAAGTGTAAATGGTAAAGTGGTAAAATGGTAGATGGAAATGGTGAACGCAAAGGCGTTTATCTTCGAGAACCGAGTCCAGTCTACCCAACCCGGTATAAATTTTGCCCAATCGTCCAATATTGCTTTCTATTTCTTGCAAAGTACTAGCGACCAATGACTTCTAAGCGCAAAATTTCAAAGGCCTACAGTAATGCCATGCAAGCTTAGTATTTAAAGACAGGACTCAAGAGTATTTTGAAGGACACAAGATATGGTACACCAAAGCATATATCTTTTCAAAAGTTAACAAACACGGCTTAGCACGAGGTGGCGTTTGGAAAATACAAAAAACGAAGTTCCCCTTGTTTTTTCCAAAATCTTACGAAGTCTTCTTTGACCCTAAGCTATCATCTTAAAAATCTCCAAAAAACGGTCAATCAAAAAAAAAACGTCGCAATTTTGTCTCTTTTCGGCCGAAACCCCTTGGCTTTTTGTCCCAAAAACGATATCCAGCTTGCTTACAAGCCACCTATGCCTAGCACTGTAACAACATGTTCCAAAAGGTTTTGAAAGAAGCAAAGATTCCCCACTTTTGTTTTTGAATGTCAGCCTGTCTGACTTACATAGGGGCCCATTTCAATGCTAGCAAAGCTTCTTAATGAGCTTCTGTTTGATCAGCAGTGTGGCGCAATCAGTCAGCACCGTTTTCAGAGCACTGTAATCTATTTTATGTTAAAGGCAGTAATGATGTCACTACATGGTCGTGTTACACAGTGCTCTACAACTGCATTCATTATAATCTTGTCGGATTAGGAAAACTGCTGGAACGCACTTTCTCATCGTATCCCTCAACACAGCATTTTCCGAACAAGTTAAATCAAAGATAAGCTGTTTAAGCCATGCACAGAAGCCCATTTTTTCTGACTGCATATTAGAATGTCTCTGTTCTTTACCAGCAGTGATAATGAACCCTAGTTGTTTATAATTATTTTTGACGAAAAATAGCAGACACAAGCGTGAGTCCATGCTTTCCATTCACCCTGTACTATGTTGTGTTGAGGACCACACTCTTTTTCGCACATGGCTTCTCCATATGTCCAGACTCTCTCCATTTTAGACTTTCCATTGATAAATCTACGCATTCAGGCAAGTATAAGCAAAGGTTAAAAATTAATTCAATCATTTCGTGCATAGTTTTCTTTTATGAATGTTATAAGTCTCCCTCGTTCAAATTCCTGGAGAACCTCCACGAAAACCATCTATTTCCAGAAAATACTGCAGTAATGCGCAAATTGTCCTCCTCTTTCTCAAAAAATATAGCTATATTGCCTTGACAATGTTACTTTAACAATTTTCGAGAAATCGACAGCCGCGACATTTTAACTTATTTTTCTCCGCCTTCGAAGCATGCGAGGTGGTTTTAGACCAGAAACAAAAAATCCCCTTGCAAAGTTGGCAGGCTTACGCTCCAAGTGGAGAGCCGCCAACCTGTGAATATCCTCCTCTGCACTAGGGTGGCTTGCCGCCAAGGATCATAGGGTCCACAACGACTCTGTGTCCCAACCTTGGCGGGAACTGTTTTAATCGTTCAAATTCAGAATGCATAGTTTTTGAAAAAGTTCCCGTCGCTACTGTGGTCGTTTTTGGATTAAGCATAGCGATAAGCCCAGGTAAGCAAGAAAGCTAGAATTTGAGTCTTTGTGCTCCTGCTTCAAGGCTATTTCGGTCAAAGCGCACTTTAATCCCTTTCCAAACTTCGCAACTAATAATGCTTTTTTGCGCATACACTGATATGACACACGTTCTCAACAATTGACCCGGTCAAAGTGCTTGCAGCCAATTCTATCAGTACTTCTGCCGCCTGAGTCAGTGAGCAATCAAGGGTCAAGTAAAGGGCTGAGTGTATGACAGCGCGTCTAGTACTACAGACATTATGGGCAAAAGAATCAAAAATGCAGACGACAAGAGCTCCAAAAAACATTACAATAGGAAATTGTAGGAACGAGCATGAAAGACAAAAAGAGAAATGTTAGGCGTTGAGAGGAAAACTACAAGTTTTCCAGGTTTGTGAATAGTTTATGAACTTGGAAACTTCTGTGGATTATGTTCTATGACCCTGTTCTTCGGCGTATTAGCCGCAATTCTTTTCGTTGCGCGCGGGCTAATGTGCGATGAAGGTGGCGATGAGCGAAGCCGCGCAAGCAGCCATCACTATCTGTTTTATCAAGTAGTGTGTCAGCAAATTCTGCTTTCGTTTTGTTTGAAAAGCATTAAAGCATCGTTGGAATTTTTGCACTATCAACGAAATCGAACAATAGCACAGTAACAACATCAATAACATCATTGAAAACAAAGAAAAGCACCGTCAACTATGGTGTCCTTGAAGGAAATACAACCCAAACACCCGCAATTCGTCCGAATTTTTGAGAGGAGTTTACCTGAAGACATGACATGCGCGGTGGAGAGCAATCACAAAATGCACCAGGTCCTCAGTTTATTAGATCAGACACATTCTTTTTGAGCGCTTACGCGCCATGCTTGTTGCGGCGGGTGTGGCTCATAAGCTGGAAAATAAGGTAATTCATAAAGATGCTGTTTTTCCAAATTATGGAGTAACAGGAAAGCTTCAGTATACTTGAACCTTCATAACAATTTGGAGATAGACTGTTGAAAATGGTACCAACGGAAATAGGAATTCAAGTTCTTAAATGAAAATGCTATTGGAATCTTGAGTTTCTTTCAAAAAAAAGACGAAAAATGGTCCAAAGTGAGGCAACTCTCACGTATATTGTCGCCATTGGAGATGCCATTATAAGCGAATAAAGCTGAGGAAAAAGACGGGTCATTCCAGTCAAATGTGGTGAAAAGGTTTATCGAGTGGAGATGTGAGGCTTTCATGGCAGCCGTAGACAGGAAAGCATACTTGACGAAATGCGATGATCGTGAAAATGAAGAGAAATCCCCAAAACTTCCAAATGTAGCAACTCAATCGAGATTACACAAGAATATCACAAGACGATCGAAGAAAATTACAAATCTGACATAAATGCCTCTTTTATACAATGCCTTAAAAAACTGAAGGACCCGTGCAAACGCGCATACAGGTGTCCCGCAGCCGTCCTTCAAAGACTACCGATTGCTTAAAAGTCCTTCTTTGTAAAAAATGCGTAGTGTACCCTTAGGCTTTGGCCATACTTTGCCCGTGTTACCGGTGCTGAAAGTGTTGCCAGGGGGACGGTCTTTTCGCACGGGCGGTACCTAGCGCTACCCTGATTTTGACTTGTCTCAACACGTCACACACGCCGCAAGTCTTCCCTCCCCTAGTTTTGCTTAGGCAAAAGCCGCCGCAGGGTGTGTTGCGCGCGACGGTGGTCCTGCGCGGAAAGCAATACAGTCGTGCGAAAAGCCCTACACCCTGTTGCCAGTGTTGAAAGTGTTGAAAGTGTTGAAAGTGTTGGTGTTGCCGGTGTTGAAAGTGGGAATCATCAGTCTTGCAGTTTCATTCTTCCTCGAACGATCTCACCGGCTGGTGAGTACATCTGGGATGGAAATGGGAAATGAGAAATGAGACTGAAATGAAATAGGAAATGCTTTCGCAAAAGCTCCTCGAACGTACTTTTTGGAAAGTGAAGGACTTGTTTTGAATAGGCAATCTCCAACACTTGAGATGTAAGGTCTAATGAGAGTGCGTGTTAGGTGTCGAATCCGGCGCTTCTGCGATTAGTGAGCAAAAGATCTTTGGGAGGTCTCGCAGTTCTCAAATGTTGGAGATTGCTTCTTTTAAACAAGTCCTTTACTTTCTAAAAAATTTGTTCGAGGAGCTTTTGCGAAAGCATTTCCTATCTCATTTCCCATTTCCCATTTCTATTCCAGACGTTTGAGGAAGAATGAAACTGCAAGACTGATGATTCCCACATTCAACACCGGCAACATTTTCAACACTTTCAACACTTTCAACACCGGTAACACGGGCAAAGTACGGCCAAAGCCTTAATGATCACATACAAGTTAAGATGAAACATCGTGTTTCTGTGGTGTTAAGGAAGCATTGAAGATAGGCTCATTTTTTACGCGGATTTTGCATTGGCATGTCATATGTTCACTATATAATCTTAATTCTTATCTATTCACCGCTCGCACTAAGGTGGGCGCGATGCTTGATCACTTTGATTGCTCAGTCTCAGTATTTGATTTGCAGAGCAAATGTGTTTAATTCTTCTGTCAGTCTCTTTTTTGATAACGAAGTTGGACGATGTATCGCTACTTTTTCACCATCCTGCTTCGATGAGTACTGCTACGCTCATGTTACAAAACACAATGAGGTTAGTATAGTTGGCGGTCCTCGAATCACGATCACAAGTTATAAAAATTGTCACACTTCACCAATTTATCTCTACTTCGCAGAGGCACTGACCATTATAGCTGTCAGTACGCTTACGTGGTACTGGCTTTCCATCATTCTATATGGATTCACGCTAAGTAATCCCAAGCAAAACTGAACCTTCTTTTTGTGCAATTCTCACATGCTTTGAATTGCATGTGAATCATCTCTACTGTATTTTCGTGACAGACCAACTCAAAAGACTAAAAGATCAACGGCTAAAGTCTCTGGCTGGCTTCCCCCTCCCTCCTGAGCTAGTGTCAACGACTGGGCGAGGTAGATCCTGTATGCCTAAGGCATACAATACCGCCCAGAAAATTCGCCGCCCTCTGACGGAGTGCGCCTGAGTGCGCTGGAGTGCGGAGGAGAGCAGCGGAGTGCGTTGCACATCACTGGAATGCGCCGGAATCCGCGTCGCATTGCCATATCTCACTTCAAAATGGACGAATTCCGAATCCAAGAAAACATCATGCTGATTAAAATTTTTTGAGCTAATCTTTAAAGAAATGTAGATGTAACTCAATGACTTCACACTTTCCGCTCATACTTTTCTTAGGGACTCTTCAGTAGCTATGGAAGGCAGACTTGGGATCATTTTAACAAGACACATCTATGATATGCGTTTCACTCCGGATCGCCTAGCGTCATTTGTGGGGCACTTCTTGATTATTATAGCAGATAATTTTCAATATGACGTCATGCTGACAGTGCAGTTGATGTTGTTACTTAGCACCTACGTGATTTAGCTGTGTACAGTAAACATGTTTTTTTGCAAATGGCACGTTTCCGAGGTAGGTCCGTTGGCTCCAACAGCTTCTTATTGTAAGGCTCCGATAGTTTGTGAACAAACTGGACTTCTCCGAAGTTTGCTAGCCATTTACAAAATGCTACCAGAAAGTCGAGAAGTTGCCCTATTCAGCGATGTCTACGGCAGCCCCAAGCATTGAGTGCGCCCTTACAAAAACCCGTTCGCAGAACGTAAGTGAGGGCCAGATCAACACGAAAGTCAGCTCAGGTGGGCAGTATGGCATGCAGATCACAGTACTGCAAAATTCGTTTTGTAGAATGCTATTATTGTCTTGCGGTAGATAGATGGTTCCTAAACACCACTCTTTCTCTCTTTGAAAGAAGACCTCGAATGCTTTCTATAGGGATGTTATGTGGGCGCAGCTCTACTGCTTACTGAATATGTGCAATGCGTGTTGCGATATGCTATGGTGAAACACGTGCTCGGAAAAAGAATTATTTATTGTACATAGCTAAATCACTTAAGTGCTAAGTTATAACATCAACTGCACTATCAGCATGACGTCATTTTGAAAATTAGCTGCTATCATAATCAGAAAGTGCCCCACAAATGACGCTAAGCAATCCAGAGTAAAATGCATATCATTAGATGTGTCTTGTCAAAATGATCCCAAATCTGCCTTTCATAGCTACTGAAGAGTCTCTGAGAAAACTATGAGCGGAAAGTGTGAAATCATCGAATTACATCTACAATTCTTTGAAGATCAGCTCAAAAAATTATAGTCAGCATGATGTTTTCTTGGAGTTGGTTTCGTCCATTTTGAAGTGAGATATGGCAATGCGAAGCGGATTCCAGTGCACTCCAGTGATGTGCAACGCACTCCGCTGCTCTTCTCCGCACTCCAGCGCACTCCGGCGCACTGCAGCGCAATCAGGCGCACTCCGTCAGAGTGCGGCGACTTTTTTGACGAATTATGAGCGGTACCTCAGACAGTAAGGGATACATTCGGCGGGCAATTGGCGCGAGTCTGTTACTGCGCGCTCTGGAGCGCTCCGGAGCCCTGCCATTTCACGCATTTTGTTGCTCCGGGGCTCTTTCAAAACTTGCGCACCTCCGGCTCCCGCCAGAGTGCCGAAGTTATGCCAGCGCTACGCCAGCATTTCGATCGATACACGTGTATTTCGTTGGGGACGTCAGCTAGTCCCGCCCCAACGAAATACACGTGTATCGATCGAAATGCTGGCGTAGCGCTGACATAACTTCGGCACTCTGGCGGGAGCCTCCGGAGCAGAGAATTGCGCGTCCCGGAGAGGGGTCCCATTCACCTCCTTGTGACGTCACCGTGACTTCACAGTGAATGAAGCGCCATTTGCCCGCCGAAGGTATCCCCTCGACTGTCTGAGATTGTACCTCATGCGATTGCAGTCGCTGCGCAATCTGAGAGCAGCGACTTTCATAACTGTTCGTAAGCGCGCTTTGCATAGGCCAGACTTGAACCTTCTGTTATAGCTCACGGAATGCGTCTATGCATTTTAGACTTGCTCACAGTTGATTTGTAAACATCTGGCAAACCGTGAAGTCGCGTGGATGTAGCGATTTGACGAAATCGCGCGAGGTATGCCATTCTCGCGATTCCAGCCGCTGCGCGATCGGGCACTGCAACAACTCTATAATTATGCGTAAAGCTGGGCCAGATTTTGCGAGAAGTTACAAAAGCTACGCGTCTATGCATTTGATACTAGCGCACGATTGCTTGTGTGGACATCTGGAAAACGCCAAGTCGCGTAGATGTGGCGACTTGACGGAATCGCGGGGAGTATGTGCCTTAGGCCCCGGACAGACTTCACGCGATTTGATCGTCGCAACTGAATCGCGACGAGACAACTGTTACAACATCATTCCATGCCGATCAACTTGCATTTCGATTGTGGTACTTTTCCAGCCCGAAATTTTTGAATGTGAAATGAAAATTAATGGAAATGTCGGCGATTGAGTTGCGACGATCAAATCGCGTGAAGTCTGTCCGGGGCCTTAGGCCTTAGGCCTAAGAATTATTTTTTACTACGCCGAAGAATGCGGCAGGGTGCGGCAGGCCGCCGCGTCCTGCGGCGACAATATATGACTATGCTACTATGGTTTTGCGGTTTATCAATGGGTTGTTTCAGACTGCAGCACTGACCGCAGCAGACTGCAGCAGACTGCAGCAACTGCAGCTGACCGCGGGGCCGCACAGATCGCTGCATCCTTTCGTGAAGGTGGAGAGGATAAACTGTTGTAGCTCAAACAGTCTTTCAACAATATGTGCCCCAACAGACAACACGAGCGGGAGTAAAATAGGTACATGCAATGGCAGAAGAAATCAGAGCAAATCTGAGCATATTAATGAAAAACAACCTCCAAAATTTGATTGAGAAGGGTAAGTTAGAACCTATGAAATTTCTAGGCGTAAATCACGGTGTTTTGATGTATTCGCAGCTGTTTTCTCTCTTGGGAAAGGATGCAGCGATTGTGCGGCCGCTGCGGTCAGTGCGGTCAGCTGCAGTCTGCTGCAGTCATGCGGCAGTATGAAACAACCCAATATTCCTCTTCTCTGCACATTCTTATTCTTACAAAGCATTCGTTCAAAGGTAGCACCCTTTTTCTTTTTTGCTTTCTCTCATCATAAGTCCAGTGGTTCTTTATTCAAGTTAAATTTGGTGCGCTTTCGATTGCGCGCAACCTGATTCGCTTCAGTTACTTCTCATTCAATGACTTCAATGCGCTATCAGCCCGTTACTGCTCATCAAGATTGAATTACTAGATTTTTGCAGATTTGCAGAGACTTGTCGCTTCATCCTTAGTAGATTCTGCATGTTTTGCAGAATTACTTCATGGAATAAGGCAGCAGAACACCGATAAGCCGCAAAAATGAGGTGGCATTAAAATATTTTTGCTGCGACTGCATCGGCGCATGCCGCAGGCTGCTGCGTCTTCGTGGTATAAAGGAACGCTAAGACATGTAAGGACCGATGTTCTTCCATTGTTTCTATGTTCGCTCCGCTTCGCCCTCTTCGCACACAACACTGTTTCTCCTCTCCGACTGCGCACGCGATGTGCGTGCCGAGTACCCTCCTTCTCCCCCATTATTGAGCCTATCTCCCTACTCGCTTTAGATCTCCTCATCATCCTGCGAAATGGAAATGAGATTCACTGGTATTATTATAAAAGTGGGAGAGTGGATTGATAAGAATGCATTCTCACAAGAGCGCTCACAATCAATAAATCAACTAATTAGCATACTCGCTCCGCAAGGTCTTGCAAGATGCTATGATAAAGGTGACCATCCCTATTCCCGTACAACCTTTTTCTGTACACACTTCGACGTGTCAATATCCTGCTCCGTTTTGTTTTCGTAATCAGCATGCTCATAATCTCCCTGAGCCAACTTCCAGTCTCGTAGCTCAAAATTTGCAAAGAATCGATAAAATTGGTAAAAGTAATGGATGGTTTTAAAACTTATTTTGTATTCGTAACCAGCATGCTCACCCCTCCCTTTGCGCCAACTCCCAGCCCGTAGCTCAAACTTTGCAAAAAATCGATGAAATCGATAAAAAAATAGAGAATTCTAAAATTGAAATATATTCATAATCAGCATGCTCACTTACCCCTCCGTGTCATCCTCCCAGCCGCGCAGCTCTAACTTTGCAACAATGCGATAAAATTAATATCGATCAATAACGAAAAAAAACCTACGACTCCCGCCCTGTATTGGTGGTTCCTAGGCCTTAGTATGGCCAGAGGCTAAAAGCGCCTTTTGGATTGTATTATATAGAACACGTAAGCATTTAAGCTTTATTGAGTAAGACGATGTGCACGTATTAGTGCAGTGGTGGAATGCTAACGATAATAGGCGTGGCATGGTAACATAACAGATATCACAGCAGGCTATGCTTATGATATGACCTTTACGCTACTTGAGCGATAGTAAGGATATGGTTGTAAGGAGGTGCCGACAATGTCGGCACGCACCCAGCCCGAAGTACATGTGCGCGGTTTGGTCCGGATTGGTTCAGAAATAAAAATGTCTGTTCGCATCCGTACAAGGGTGCGTGGCATTAGATACTCAGCCGAGTTGCGGGAGTTACGTACCCAGGCATTAGTGATATACACTAAGCCAGCCCCTTGGTTGCTTTTACGGAGGGTACCTACGATGCAATTCTCAGCTGCTAGAACAGCTCAACATCGCCAAAGCGCTTGCGGCCTGCAAAAATTGTGATAATCTGATCTAAACGATGATGTCAGCGTCTCAAGTATACTTTGTAGAATTGTGATAAACAAAAACCTTGTGATTCAATGAAGCAAAGCGCACTTTCGGATATGTTCCTGGCAAATAAGTTGCACGGAATATTCTTTTGTTTTGAACAATCGTTTTGAATATAGCAACGGTATATGTTTGTTGAGGGTAGAGGACTATATGTAGCCGAAAGGGGCGGCCCCGGCGGTCATTTGCAACAAATACGCACCCTTGCGTATGCATGAAGGTGCACTTTTGCAAGAAGTCCGCGCGGGACACTACCACATTCATTGCAGCATAGTGCGCAACGCGAACGACGCTGCGACGTCACAACTTTTATTTGCATCTATATTCAAGAGAAAAACGAAAAGAGCAGTTTTCTAACAATGATGTGCACTGTATGTATGCGACATCGGTCTTTTAGTAACTATCTGAGGTTGATGTTTTGTAGCTGAAGGAAAACAGACTCCTCAGGTTTCGCAATTCAAACACTTCGAATTCATTGGAAATTTCGGACATGGAGCTTATCTGACGTGCTGGATACAGATACAGTTGGGCGTTTGTTGGCTAACGACATCTTTTTCGCTGGACGAATTTGCGGAACGTGTTAAACTGATCTGCGCCGGCGCGACCGCGGCAGAGCAGGCTGAGTGTCTTGAGCACCTTGGGCGTTTCCGCTTCATTTCTATTACTGTATTCGGCGTTCAAAGCATAACACGGCATCGTGTGCGACACTGTGTTGACACACGGCAAACACAAATGTAGCCTAAGCAACGATACCCTAGCTAGAACTTCATCATGACCTGCTTCTTTTAAATCAGTCTGCTATTTTTTAGGGTAGAATTTTTCGACTAGGATGTTTATCCTCACCTGAAAATGAAAAACTGCAAGTTTGCAAGGACATCTTAACACATAATCATTATAACAATACTTGCATTGAAACAGGTAGATCTTTGTTGTCATGCAAAAGTACAACTAAGACATCTACATCTCTAATATCAGGTGATCATCAAATGTGCTGCTGTTATCAACGTAATGGCAGCTTTTGTAACTCTAAATGGAAGCCAAATATTGTCATGCCCTCTATGAGTAAGCACGAGGTCTGTGAATTGCATTCTTACTGATTCAAGTACTAATACAATCGCAAAATACATGGATTTCCTGGATAAATAAGCCTCTATTCCAGTGTACGTTGCATTCCATTTTGGAAGGGGGTAGAGGTTCAACAACGGGGCTTTAAATAAACTGCGCATGTGGCAATCAGGGTCAAGCAAAAGGCGTGGCACTTGACCATCGAGTACGACCCCCCCCCCCTCCCTTCTCAGCGTTATCGTCTACCTATTGTAGACATAAGATGGGGTTCTACCAAGTATATTGATTAACGTATTTGAATTAATCATGTCAAATAACCCCGCGGACCGAGTTTTAGCAAATTGTAAGATTTCGAGAATGGGACACCCAAGTCAATACCCCTTTTTTTTGAATGTGTCTGACCTTGTTCTAAGGGTAAGTTAGCTGCATCTTTTTGCCTCATTAAAAAGCACTGTTCAGCAGGAGAATGGTCAACAACCCAGTCATTCCAGACCCAGTTATTCCAAACAAGCTATACAGTGCTGGCATAGCTATGAAGCCACCTTGAAATATTCACTGTAATTTGTACCCTCTCAGCGAAAATTGTTTGAAAAATTACTATAGCGTGTACAAGGTATACATTGTCCAGAATGGCTCCCAAATTCATTTCGCTGGAGAAAAATTGAAAATTCAAAAAACGTGTTTCTAAGGCTGGTCACAGCCTTAGAAACAAAGGCTAATTTGAAACTTGTGAGCTGTCGCCTTTTGAGAAGAAATTTTGAGGGCATTTTTGAAAATGCATAGGAAGTCATTTTGTTTCAAAAGAAATGCTGGTTTACCAAATTTGCAAGCAGCTATGTAACTCCGATGGAGATCTCAAATTTGCGAGCTTTTGCAATGAATGCGGGAAGGCAGCTTCAACCTTGTGCAATCGCAGATATTGATGAACGAGCCACAACCTAACCTTCAACGAGGTTTAATACAATAGAAGTTGAGTTCTAATGCCAAAAAGACTCGGGTCATGATCAGTACAACAATAAACTCGTGCGCATTGCCGAACATCGTGGCAACTTTTGAAATTCCACTTTAGCCTTAAGCGCTCTTCTTTTAAGAAAAGTTGACGCACTCTGCGTAATCCTTGACCCACTCTGACCACTCGGTCGAGCAAAAAACATTCAGGACTTCAAAACTTTGATAATGCTCAACTTCGTGAGATAAATTGATGAGGAACCGTGAATAGCATTAGGAGCCATTTTAAGCGTCCCTGTGACAATTCTGACGACTTTTCGTTAAATTCGTCGACATGCAGATAAAGTGTCAACTTCCAAACAGAAGATTTGGCACATGAGAAATCGAATTTCGTGGCTAAAAGGGTGCTTACAAAGGTTGAGGTTCGTTATTGAGAAAAGCGACTACGCAAAGTTAAATCAAGTACTCTTCACGTCTTCATTGCAGAGGCTCATCGAATCGTAGGACATTTATCTGAAAAAGTGCTTGAAATTCAGTGAACCAGCAGCTTTCTCGTAAAGTCTGACTTTTCATGTATTTTCAAAAAATGTTGTACAAATTTTTTTCGAAATGCGACATTGCAGGTGTAATGAATGTTTTACATTTTGATGCTGTAACCGTACAGAAAATTTTACTTAAAAAATGTAGGTATTGCTTAGAATTAGGAGGTGCCCTTTGAGATGTGATCAGCCTTCAGACCAAGCATTTTTTAATCTTTTCGACTTTCTTCGGCCAGAATCAACAAATTTGGGAGCCCTAATATGGTCAATGATATATCGTTAACTCGTACATAGAACAGCAGTTTTTCGGACTTTTCATTCGCGACAGAACAAATTACCCACATTCCTAGGGTGGCTCTATAACTATGACCAGCACTGTATATCGTCGAACTGGAACGCTTATTTCAGATATATTTATCATCTGCCGAACGACTACCTGGAAAGAGTTGTGAGCGTTTAGATATGAGAAATTCGAGTCCCAACGGATATAATTCGTTGCAGGGCAGCCTGAAGGCGCGTAAATACAGTAGTTATGAGTGCTGCACTAACAAGAGAGAAGTGCATTCCAACAAAAACCTAATTAAGTGTCTTTGAGACGTTTCTCGTGGAGAGTGCGCTGCAGAATCTTAACAAATCAAATTTAAATGCTTGTAACTTCTTCCAGATAGTTCGGTAGATGTAAAACGCATATCTGAGATTAGCGTTTCAAAACGAGTCCGGTGATAGATAGCCTGCTTGGAATGGTTGGATTAACTCCTGACCATTTCCTGCACAGTCTGCTTTCACATGAAGAAAGAATCCCACTTTAAGGGCCGCATGCACTAACAACCCCGCTGGGGAGGGGATCGTAACTCAGAAGAAAGCTTCATATTTTGAAGCTCCAGGTATCTAGATTTCACGCTGTCTACCTGTCCGCAAGTATTCCTACTATCCTTCACTATGAAGGTATTGAACAGGACGAGAAGCTGTACAAGCCGCATTTCCCAGCTTTTGTATGATCCCTGACGATCCCCGGCGCTTTTCTTTGAAGTTATTTTTCTTTCTCCGATGTTAACGAAAACATTCCAAAGTTGCACCAATTATCTAACACAACAGTGCTAAGCATGTTACTGGTAAGAAGAATTGAGTTTTTGAAAAATCGAATTTTTCGGTAAACCACAACTTTCGACTTGTGGCTCATCGCAAATGTCATGAATCCGATACATCACTTGTTCTTATCAGCAACATGCTGACAACTTTGGAAACTTTTCGTTAACTTTGGAGAAAAAAATGACTTCAAAGAAAAGCGCCGTGGATCATCAGGGATCATACAAATGCTGGAAATTGTGGCTTGTAAGCTTCTCGCTGCTGTTCAATGTGTTCATAGTGAAGGATGGTAGGAATACTTACGGTTACGTACACAACGTGAAATCCAGATATCTGAAGCTTCAGGATATGAAGCTTTCTTTTAAGCTGCGATCCCCTCCCCGCGGGGATGTTGGTGCATGCGGCCCTAAATAATGACCAAACCACGGAATTAAGAACTAGCCAAACCTCGTTCACCCCATTTTCACCTTCAAATGTTATGCTTTCAGCAACTATTATTCAGAATAGAGATGACGAGTAAGGCTCAAATCATTGCTGCGCAAACTACAGGATAGGCTATCGAAATATGTACAGTGACCACCAAAAAGTTGCGGACAAGCCGCCTTCCTTTTTTCATCGCTCATTTTCGGATGGAAAACGAAGACGAAAAAAGATTGGGTTACATGTGGTGATAGAGCTCACCAAGAGCTACAACCCACACCTTGCGCTTTCTGGAAAACATGTATCATAAAAGTTTTAAAAATCTTTTTTAAAAAAAGTCCGAAGACGGCCGCGTCACAATGTCGCGGACAATAAGTCTTCGAACGCGAAAATTTTCTGTTAGGTCTTTTCTTGGAGCAAAAACAGAAGTTATCCGGACAGGCAAGCATACTATATCGTAGAGCTCATCGAGGGCAATAGTCGGGTAATAGCCTTAAAAGGTAATAGCCTAAAAACCAAAGCTTAAATTTTGTTTTGCTTTTTCTCAAAAAATAATTTTAATTCCCTTCTTAAAGCCAAATTTCTCGGGTGGCGGACTTTATGAACGATAGCGCACGCTTAGGCAGGCATGTGTCAATAAGGTGCGCACCGTTAGCCCCGCCTATCGCTAGATAGACGAGTTTCCTGCACTACAGCTTGGGCACTGGTTCATAGCCATGTTCACCAGTTCACTAAAATCAGTCTTTGATATTAAGCCATAAGCTTCCTTCAAGCCGGGGAGAAGCTTATTATATACAGAATCGTTTGTTTTCTTGTTGATTTTTTGCCCATTTGTGAGATACTGATCTCTTAATGTTTCGCTGATTCACCTCAATTACCGAGTGAGGCGGAGTGTTCAGAGCATCGCGTACGGTACCCAGCAGGCGGCTGGCACATGCTATCGTTCATAAAGTCATACACCCAAATTTCTCCACATGGAAATCTATTCAAGGCATTCCAACAGGGCTGTTTGGATAGACTCTTTGCCATCCTTCATGCATCGGACGTGTGCTGGTGAGTTTCTTTGCTGAAAATGGCTCTTGACAGTGCGTGCACATGACCCCACCTGCACCTCACCACTGACTTGCACCGCTTTGCAGGCTTGTATCTCAGCCGGCAGTCACTCCACGAGCCTGCAGATAGGCTCACTCGAAAGAGCGTGACTTCCTGGACACGACGATATGCAACAAAGTTGGGTATGAGAAACAGCAGAGATTTGGCGGATGGGGTGACAAAGCGCAGCCTTAGAGGTGAATGGAGTGAAGGCTCTTATCAACACTAGAACGGTTTCAGAGCTCCGAATTGGATCTATTACAAGAAAATTGATGGTTTTGAACTCCCAGGATGAAACTGGTGGCGAAAGAAGCTCTGCTCAACTTTGACTGAAAAATCCTTAGCCTACCTCTAAGGCTGCGCTTTGTCACCCCATCCGCCAAATCTCTGCTGTTTCTCATACCCAACTATTTTGCACACTATCTTGTCAAGAAAGTCACGCTCTTTCGAATGAGCCTACCTGCAGGCTTGTGGAGTGACTGCCGGCTGAGATACACGCCTGCAAAGCGGTGCAAGTCAGCGGTGAGGTGCAGGTGGGGTCATGTGCACGCACTGTCAAAAGCCATTTTCAGCAAGGAAACTCACAAGCACACCTCCGATGCATAGAGGATGGCAAAGAGCGTTTACTTTATCCGAACAGCCTTGTTGGAATGCCTTGAATAGATTTCCATGTGAAGAATTTTGGCTCGAAGAATGGAATTAAAAATTATTTTTTGAAAAAAAAGCAAAACAAATTTCAAGCTTGGGTTTGAAAGGAACCATTACCCGATTATTGCCCTCGATGAGCTCTACGATATAGTATGCTTACCTGTCCGGATAACTTCTGTTTTTGCTTCAAGAAAAGACCTAACAGAAAATTTTCGCGTTCGAAGAATTATTGTCCGCGACATTGTGACGCGGCCGTCTTCGGACTTTTTTTAGAA